CCTGCTGGGACCAGTGCAGGGCCCTTCCCTGTGGTCCATGCAGGGTGGGCTGGGGGCAGCGACCAGCCTCCTGGCACGGCATGGAAGCAGACCATGAGAGCTGCTCACAGCCTGCCCGGAATGGAAGACCACGTCAACCAGGCTCTCACACACATGAACAACGTCCTTGCTGGTTTCAGCATTTGCTGGCTGAGAAGTCAGTCCGGACCACAGGAAAATACAAAGGCTGTTTTCAGTAGCTTTGTTTGTTTTGTTTTGTTTCTTTTCAGAATAAAAAACAAAATTGTGTGTAACCTGCCTTCACATAGTGTTAAGTGAAAGTGGGTGCAGACAGCTGCGGGGCCAGGGCGGCCCCACCCTCGGTCTCCGCCCACCTGGTCTGAGAGGACTGGCAGGAGCACCCCGCCAGCGCTGTTCCCCACCCTGTCTGCCCAGCTCCCACCCACAGAGGGAGCCGCTTACTCTCAACACCCAAAGCCGCTGTCCCCGAACTCCCAGCTTCTCGTCAGCTCTCTGCAGCAGAGCTGAACTAGACATGCAGGAAACAGGACGACTCCGCAACTGCCAGAGCAGCATGCACTTAAGACGGGCGCCCCGGAGCCACGCGTGACCCCCGTCAGCATGTAATCTAAACTTGACTTTATTTTACACCAACACAACTCCGCCACAAAAGGAAAATGAAAATTATCCTTTGCTCTTTTTACTTTTAAACTATTAACTATGATTCTAGGCATTACATATGGATGCACATGCACCAGAACCAACTCATTACATTTAAAACTGGAAACTCTCAGTAGTAACTCCGAATGTTGTTGGTCTGAACGTATTATCTAGCTGAAAAGTAATATTTCAACCAAATCACCTCAGACCTTTACAACCTGTCAGAATGGCTACAGCACAGGAAAGCAGAATGTGGGTGCTTTCCAGGGCCTGGGCTCCCAAGGGCGAGGTGGAACCTGGGACTTGACCCAGCCCCACAGCCCTGCGCTGGGCCTGGCGCCACGGTCCCACAGCCGGCACTGACTGCTGCTTGCTCCCAGCCCCAGAGCTCAGACGCGGGGAAGCACTCGGAATCCCAGCGCGCCCCCCACCAGGCGGTTGGAGCAGCCACCAGCCTTCCGAAAGCAGGCTGTGGAGCGCAGCCAGTACTGCGGTGACTCACCTGCTGCTCCTGGCAAGCGTCCGTTTCATTCAATGACCCTTCTTCCAAATTCATCTTAAGACAAGAAAGCTGGGGTACCGCACCAGGCGCCCAGATCTAAAGCGCACCCTCCGACGCCACGGCATGCCTGTGCGTGTCAGCAAAGTCCGGGCGCCTCCACCAGCTTCCATGTGCTCCTTCGTCACCCATAGCAACACGACACGAAGGAAGCTGTGGTCAGCCGGGGACTCAGACTCGTTCCCAATCGTCTCATACACAGAAAACAAGCCGTTTATATAAATCACGCTGTGAGATCATTTTTAAAGTATTTCCTCTACCAAATCACAAGAATAACACTTCAGCTGATAGGGGCAATTTCTCAGTCAGCACAGCAGCTGCAGGGAATTTGTTTTTGAGCAGCGTGGTGTGGTTCGCAACCTTAATTACAGTTGCACAGAGCTATTCTGGGCCTGCTCCATCTGCACGCGCCTCCTCCGTGGCAGCCAGCGGGACCTGGCACAGTCCTGAAACCCTCCACGTCGTCCCCGGCATCTGAACAACCTGAGAGGGAGGGACTGCGACGGTCCCGGCTTGCACAAGGAAGAAGGAAAGAGAAGGCGGTGGCTTCTACAGCCTGGGGTCGCTTGACTCCTGTGAACACTGGGGACCCCAGCACTGCCAGCCCCCTTGACAACACTGGGCAGCAGGGGCCATCTGAGGGGCTCTGGGTACTCCAGATTGCTGGGGGGCCACCAGCTGGCAACACGCTGGGCTTTTCTGAGGGAGAACTGCCCGATCTTGAGCTGGACACCCCACCAGCAGAACCCAAGGGGTGGCATGGGTCGATTTACACTGTGACAGGCAGTGCCTCCTGCCAGGGTGCAGGCCACAGACCAAGGGGGCATCACCCTTCTCAGAGGCCTGGCACCAGCAGTGGAGGACAGAGCCAGTGCCACCTCCACCAAGCACCCCAGGGAGGGGGCGGGGAGGGATTGGGACTTTCAGGGGAGACACCAGGGAGCCGCTCTCTGCAGCTCTCGGGCCCCAGGAGGACAGGGCAGGAAGGACCAGGCAACCACTGTCCCCTACTCAGCTAGCCCTGTTGAAGGTGGCACTGCCTCTGCCCTCACCGCTTCGGAAGCAGTGGCTACACTGTGGCCTGCCATGGCCTCAGCTCCTGTCCTTGGCAGGGCCTGCCCATGCACTGGTCTGAGCCACACCCAAGACAGGGAGACAGGCATTGGGGATACACGCACACGCCTGGCTGCTGGCCCCAGACAAGCCCGGTACACCTCCCGCCCAGCAGGCCACCCCAGGAGCGGGCTCTGACGGCCCGCACTGATGCCCTCCGAGGAGGCTCCACCACCACGGCCCCTTCCATCCTCACACACACACTCTCACAGGAAGACAGGGAGCTCCTCCAAAGGCCAGGGAGTTCTTGGGGCAATGGAGCCCTGAGGCCCTGAGACCTGGCTCCTTCCCTTCATGATTTCTGAGTTTGGGGCACGGTGGCCTCTGATCAGAGCAGGGACAGCAGCATCCTGGCCCCACAGGGCCCCCCAGACCCTGACAACAGCGGGGGACCACAGGCGATCCTTCTGCTGGCAACACCCACAGGACCACTCAGCACCAAACGTGCCTCATCTGAATCATCCCAGTGTGTACAGTCAAGGACGGAGGAAGAGACACATTCCGGCTTGTCTACACAGCACCACGACCCGCAGGGGCGGCGCAGTCCAGGCGCAGGTCTCCTCCCTCCCGAGCCTGTGGGGCTGGTGAGCTCACCCTGAGCCCGCCCGCCTCTCCTTCCGCTTACTCTTCCTCCTCTGCAGCAGGCAGCGAGGAGGCGAGGTGACAGCCCCAGCCCCAGGCCACCCTGCTCATTTCCTGGCCAGCACAGGCTCTGAATGAGGAGCCGCAAGCACTGCCCCACACTGAGGTCCGGGAGCGCAGTCCGAGCCCCACAGGCCCCCTGCCCCTGTCGCCTTCCCTATGGGCACCTGGGGTCATCCACGTGGCAGCCTGGGCACAGAGGAGGCCTCCACCCACGCTCAGCTGCCCTCCCACACCACTACCAAGGGGTAGAGGACAGTGCCCAGGTAATGTTGCAAGGTTGGGTGGGGTGAAGCCACCACCTGGCCGACAACAGCAGGCACTTCCTGGGCGCCTGCTGCGGCCAGAGGGCCAGGGTCCTCAGGAAAGAGGGCTGTGGGAAAGGGTGCAGCCAGAGCCCACCGACCACAACAAGTAAGAGCCTGGCAAAGAGAGGCAGCTAGCCTGTGGTAGTGAGAGGCGGGAGGTGCGTGGGCCTGCGAGCTCTGGGGACGGGACGGGACGGGCTTCCAGCTGCCCAGACTCGGAGTCTCCCCACCCCGCGCAGCCTCAGAGAGAGTGCGCAGCCCCAGTGCCCGCCTGACCAGGCCTCCCAGGCCCTCACTTCTCTCAGCCACGGCAGGGCCTCAGGGCCAGGAACATAGCCTGCCTCTGGGCCCCCACACTGCGAGAAGGGAGCTGCGGGAAGCAGCTGACCCGGCCTTCTCCTCCCCATGGGGGACCCAGGCCCTGCACATGCAGCGCTGCCCAGGGCTTGCCAGGGCTTGAGCAGTGCTGCACAGCCGAATGGGGAAAAGGTCTGCGATGGAAGCCCCAGAGCTGCCCAGGAGACGCCGCGTGCAGATTCGAGTGCGAGGGCCTGGCTTTTTCTGCTCTTAAGCACAAGAAGCCTCTGGCAGGCAGGCCACGGCCCCAAACCTCCCCCAGCAGGGCCTCCCCAGTCTCCCACCTCCCATCCCAGACCAAGCATCACCAGCTGAACACTGGTGAGAGAAGAAAGGGCTCCCAGGCCCCACACACTCGGGCACTGCCTGGCCTCTGCCCACCACCTACCCAGCACCCCCAGCCAGCGCCTCCTCCTCAAGCTTCCTGCAGCCCCTCAGACAGCCACAGCCCAGCAGGGCCACGCCTGGCAGCCTCTGCCCCCAGGAGGTGCAGTTAGCCAACCCAAACACGCGTGCACGGCCCTAACGTGCCCACAGTTAGCAGGGGACCAAGCAGGCAGGGCAGCTGGCAGCCTGTGCCCACCCCACCAGCAGGCAGATGCCACGTCCACCACCCGGCCCTCGCGTCTCCAAGAACATCCACACCATCCTGTCCGGCCGCCTGCATGTGCCCTCTGCGGGTGTGTCCGCCTTCCCTGCGAGCCCGTCAGTGCAGCGGGACCACACCCTGTGCTGTGCCATGGAGCAAGGGCAGGGCTGGGCTCCAGCGCACAGCAGCTCTCATGCCAAAGCGGCAGGCGGCACACAGCATTCGCCGGCACTTTGCACACACAAACGGGCCGGTAAAAGGTCAGTGGGCGAAGGGGCTGAACAGGTGGCGCGCAGAGTCTTCAGCGTGACGCCGCAGGGCAGGCGCGTGTCGCTGTACACAGGTCCACCTGACGAAGGGACAGCGCGGCGGAAGTCCCGAGTGACGCATCCGCACCCTCCGAGGACGCCGAGAGCGAGCGGCGGGGACCAGGGGCCACGGAGACGGCTTTGGGCTCGAGCTTTCTATAAACCTGAACCTCAGTTCTACAAACCTAAACTGCTGCAAAAGTAAAATCTACTCTTCAAAGGAAACAGAAGAAAGGGCCGGGCAAAGCGATCCCCTTGGGACCCCATCCTCGGAAAGGCTCAAGAGCTCGGCAGCTGCTGGGACTGCCGGATTCCCAGGCTCAACAGCGTCCCCTAGCGGCGGCACGGGGCTCAGACACAGCGAGGGGCGAACAGGGGCCGCGGTGCCAGGAAGCCCAGGGAACCAGCTGGCCCACAGGCTGTGGTGCATCTTTAAAGAGAAGGAAAAATTGGCACGGACCTACCTCGAGGTCGTCGAGAGAACGGGTGATGCTGAACCTCTTGGACCTTCCGAAGGATCTTCGGGCAGAGGTGCGCTGAGACGTCTGCACAAGTCCAATTCCCCTCCCGAACTTGGAGCCCTAAACACGAAGAAGAGGAGGGGTCAGGTTGTCCCCCGGAGTCTCGGGCGTGCAGCCCCATGAAAGAGAAGGAAAACCAGGGTAGCAGCCATCCCGGAGGGATTTTATGTTAGGTGGATTTACACGATAAAAAAGCACAAAACTGCAAAAAGGCGTCGCCCAGCTATCTGGGGACTTGTGCTGCCCTCACCCGCCATGTGCCCGGGCAGCGCCTACAGCTCCACTTGAACCCCAGAACCCACCCGCAGCCGGCTCGAAGGGCTGTGACCACAGCATGAGGGGCAGCGCCTGACCGTGCGGAAGCACGGGAAGGGTGACCCTTGTCAAGGGAGAGGCTGCTCTCAGCAAGGCTGTCCTTCCCACAGCTTTATCCGCGTTTCAGCAAAGCAGGGCCCCTACACATCACCCTGGCGTCTGGATTCCAAATCGGCTGACAAGAAGTAACTGGCCACTGAGACACTTGTGGTACTTCCTCCCGGAAGTGACGGACTTAGTCCCATTCCCCAGCACCCGCCCGAGCTGGTCCAGCACATGAACCTTGCGTCTTAAAGAGTGCAGGCTGCAGGCTGGCGAGCTGGGTCCTAGCCTGTGAACGCCACCGCGTCCCAAATGAGGAGGCGACATGTTTACCCAGGGGTCTCGAGCTCTTCCCACCAGCAGAGCGACCTTGGGCATTGTGTGGAAACCTGCAGCAATTCCAACAACTCAGGCTCTGGAAGCTCACCAGAGTGACATCCTGGCCCCTGGACCTGGCCGCTCACCCCTGCTGGGGACAGGGACGGTGAGGAAGCAACACTGGCACTGGAGTCCCACAAGCGTAGCTGTGGTGCTCCCTGCCCCAGCACAACGCAGACCCGGCTTCCCCACCCTTAAGCCCTGGGATCCCCCCAGGTGCAGCTCCCACAGCCCACACTCACCCACCTCTACCTCCCACCTCCTCCCGCCAGAGTCCCGGACCAGCACACTCCACCAGGACCTCGGCCCTGAGCTCCCACCCCTCAGGACCTAGCCCGTTCCTGTCCGCGCCGCCAGCCCAGCCCGGCCCTGCACACGCCCCACATCCGCTGGTAAAATGCTGTGCGGGCACACCTGAGGGAGGCTGGCAGGGTGGGGCACGAGGCTCCGATGGACGGCGGCTGCTAAGGAATTGTGAGCTGAGCCGGGGAAAGCAGGAGCGGACAGACACATGCACGGAGTGAGCGCGCAGCCCGGAGCGCTGAGGAGACACAGGCTCCTCCCTGCACCGGTCAGCGCTGCCGTGCCCAGGACTGGTGCCTGCCACGAGCACGCGAGGAGGTGCCCAGCGGGGCCTGTGCAGCCGCAGGGGGGCTGCAGTCCAGCTCTGGGCACTCTCCCACGGGGCGCCGGGGCGGGCAGCAGAAAGGAAGCCGCACAGCCAGGGTGCACAGACATCTGTGAGACGGGGATGTGTAAGGGAGGGAGAAGCGACCATCAAGCGGACAGGAGAGCACTCCCACAAAGAGCGAGATCAACTCGAGCAACAGACGCGGATGATCCCAGGAATACTCTCGAGGATCAGGAGCGTTTGCTTCCCAAGAGCAGTAGAGGAAGTTGTGTGCTCTAGCGCCCCCTGCCGGCCCGCCATGAGTGCCAGGGAGCCGCGGGTGACCGCGCTGCAGAGCTCCCCTCGAACACGCAGGTGAGAGGTGCCAGCAGCCCAGCCCACGCCCCAACCCTCATCGGCCCCGGCAGCAAAGGCACGGGGGCCCGCGGGCCACGCAGGGCGCAACGTCAGGCACCCAGGCTGCGGCCAGCCTGCGCGTGGCCAGCTGCTTCAGAGACACCGAGGGCCAAGGCGTGCAGCCGAGCTCCCGGGGCGGCCTGTCGCTGGTGTGTCCCCTACAGACGAGGCCCAGAGAGGCCGGCCCCCCTGGAAGCGGGAGGGGTGAGGGTGGAGCCTAGTCTGCTGACCCCTGCTCACTGCCCGGGCACTGACCTCCTGACCACTCACTCGGTCCCTGTGTCACAGAAGACAGACCAAAGGGGAAGAAACGGCACCGAGGAGCTTTCGCAGGCACTTTATTACACCGTGGGCTTCTGACTAATCTCTCCCCAAGAGCCAGTTTCGGGCTTTTAACGGGAAAGTGAAGGGGCGGGTCCAGAGGCAGATCCGGCGCATATGACTGGAGCGCTGGGTGACATCGGGTTGAGAAGGAGTTTGAACATCTCAAACTACATTGTAAGGCTCAGTTACACAAAGCATGGGTTATACAGAGCAAGAAATACCCTATTACATTTTTGTTTTGTTTTGTTTTTGTCTTTTTGAGACAGGGTCTCGCTATGCAGTTCAGGCTGGCTCACTTTGGAGCCCAGGCTGGTCTCGAACTCGCAATGATCCTCCTGCCTCAGCCTCCCAAGTGCTGGGATTACAGGGGTGTACCACCATGCCCGGCTACATTTTAAGTTACATTGCAAGGTCATAAATTATACAAAGGCAGTAGAGACCAGGGTTACACAAAGGAAGAAATGTTCTGTTACCAGGCGGCCTGGTAACATGTCTGCTCGGTCTTGGCAAACATTCTGGGCAGGCTTTTATTTAAAATTTTAATTTCCCCCTTCACCAACACCATGCTGCCCCCACCCCCGGGGTGCAGGGCCTGGAGTCACTGCAGTCAGGGCTGGAGCAGGACACCATCCAGGCAAGGTCATGTTCAAGGTCATGGGGCAGTGGCTTGGGATGAGCGCAGCTTGTGCTCTGTTCCCACACAAAGACTTTTCATCGCACATCTAAGTTTCCAACGCACAGAACACGGGGCCTAACCAGCTCCGAGGAGCCGAGCACCGCGGACCCAACTGTTCCTGAACCTCCAGCCTCCAAACTGCAGCTCTGGACCAGGAGATGCCAACTCCCACCCCGGACACACCCTCAGGGCTGCTCTGAGTCTCCGGGCCCTCATCGGACTGGAATCGCAGGGTATTTACCTTCAGGCCGCTGACTGACTCCCCTTGGCGCCATGTCCCCAGGGTTCATCCCAGAGGCAGCACGGTCAGAACAGCCTTCCTTTAGAAGGCTGAGTAATACTCCCCGGTGTGAGGAGACCACACCTTACTTTTCGATCCCTCCGTTAGTGGACACTGAGCTGCCCCACACTTGGGCTCTGGGGGTGACGCTGCTGTGAACAGACCTGAGTCCCCGCTCTCCAACCTCTGCGAGATCCCAGAGGTGGATGGCCCAGTCACGCTCTAAGGACTGCCACACTGACTCCCAGGGTGCAAGGCCAGCTGACAGTGCACCAGCCGCACACAGAGCTCCAGCGTTCTGCACCCTCAACACCCTGTCACTGCCTGGGCTCCGAAGGCCACGCCCCATGGGGGAGGTCTTGCAGAGCGGACGCGCACTGCGTGCGAGCAGCCGCTGGCGTCTCCCGTCTTTGCTCGCGCGTCTTGGCCCAGGCATGTCTTCCTGGAGAGATGTCTGTTCACACCCTTTGCTCGTGTTTTAGCCGGGTCGTCCGCCTTTCTGTTCCTGAGGACGCAGGCAGCTCGTTACACACGCTGGACACTAACCGACATCAGATACGTCACCCGTGTATTCCCCATTCTGTGATCTGCCGCCTTACCTTGTTGATCGTGGCCTGTAGTAAAAAGTTTTAAATTTCGATGTAATGCAACTTAGGTATTTTCTCTTTTGTTGCCCACATCACTACAATTAAAAATGCCAAACCAAACACTCTCAAGCTAAACCAAAGCTGGGCAGGACAGGGCAGGCTTATCTGTCCCTGTCACCTCCCCCCATACCCCACACCTCCCCCAGTGCTGGTGCAAAGTATGTACTCAGCATTTACAGACAAATGAACTCTAAGCAAAAGACAATCTAAGGTCAGGTCCACTGACACACTCTTATGATCCCAGCTACTCAGGAGGCTGAGGCAGGAAGATCACAAGTTCAAGGCCAACCTCAGCAACTTAACCAGACTCTGTCTCAAAATAAGGGGTTCTAGGGATGTAGCTCATGTTCAATCCCCAGCATCGCAGAGAGAGACAGAGAGAGAATTTAGGTTAGAAGCCAAACCATTCCCAAGTTTCCTGGACAGCAGCACAGAGAAGTTTGAGTAAGCTGATGGCTGGCTTCTCCTGGCATATTAGGCAGCGCCCACACAGCAGACAGAGGCCACATGGCAGCTGGCAGAGAGAACCCAGTGGTTCCAGAGAAAGAGGAAGAGGAGGAACTGCCCTAGCTAGAGCTGGAGGAAGAGAGGCATGGAGACCCAGAGAAATCACAGAGGAAGCAGCGGCCACCCAGAAACCCAAGGGGGGAGGAGGGCACCACTCCAGCTCGGTGGCCCTGCGGGACCCAGACCTCTGGCACCCAGACCTCTGAGGGACCACACCAGTGTCTCTGAGGGCAAGAAGGAGGCCCGGGGCCCCAGTGGGATGGAGGGCTTTGCCATGGCGATGGTCCCACCTGGCCAAACTCCACATAGCAGGAATTCTGAGCCCACATCAAAACGATTCAAGAATCGTTAAAATTCCACCTCAGACATAAATGGGAAAAACCTGCAGAAGTGGCCAGGCATGACTTATGTCAGCTGCTGAAGGACTGCTGGTCACAGTGCATCACCTTTCGGAGGGAGGACGGAGGAGAGCCTGGGCCGCCTCCTCGAAAGAAAGGCCAGTTCACAGGAAAGGAGAGGCATCGGGAAGGACGGCAGCGCTTGATATCATCAGCACCTCGGTGAAGACAAGAGCAAAGCACTGAGCTCCACAGCAGCAGAGGAAGGGTGGGATGAGGAAGCGACCCAGGAGCTGAAAACAAAGCAGAGCAGAAAACAAAGGCCCGGGACGGGAGGAAGCCGGAAACCTGGTCCGCAGAGATCTGCAGAGCCACGGCACGCCCAGGGCCAGGCCCACCGCTCTGCTCCAGCCCAGACAAGGCCAACGAGGCAGCACTCTGAGCTTACTCTCCAGGTCTCAGAACCCCAAACTGGGCCAGGAAAATGAAATCCAAGCGTGTGCCACTCCTAGTGACAACCCTGAAC